AGTGGACCTCAACAAATGATGCCATTAGTGTGCATCTGGCTATGGGACACTGGAGGGTTTCCTAGGCCCTGCAGATCAGGGTCTTGGGATGTTCAAAGTTGCGGCAGAACATCCAGGGGTCTCTCCAGATGTCTGTTCTCAATGGGTCTCATGACTGAAAGTGTGCTGCAGATCTCATTTCCAAGTGCTCCGATCTGCAGCATAGTAGAAACCCTTTGGTTGATACACTCCCAGGGGGAAAAGATAGGATTGTGAGAGGTGGTGTCATCAGTTGTAACTACAATGATGGAGCGGCATCTGACGATGAAGGATTTTGGCCATCGTGAAGCACAATTAATGCCTAGTTTCACACGTGGAGAATTATGCTCTGCAACCCTGATGTATTATATTAGCCATTCTTTTATTAGTAACTCCCCCCCCCGAACTGTAATGAAACATAAAATGAAATGAAAAATAATGTACAATGCAATGAAAGTAAATAGTGGGAATGAATTAGTTTTCAAACTTTTAATAAGCAGCAGGGAGAAATTACTTTCAAAACTAAACTTTCCAAGTAGTTGATGATACATATATGTGCATGTGTGTGTGTGTATCTATCTATCTATCTATATTGATAGACTGAAAAATCCTGCTTCTTCTTCTTTTTAAAATGTCCTCAATTGCCACCGTATCAAACTTCCTGTGACTGGCTTCCAATGTCAATCAACCATCCCATGGGATGAAGCCATGGCTCTTGCTGACAGGCAGGTGGTTCTTGTGGAATCCAGCCACATCAATATTTCAAGGCAAAGTTGGGACTTTTAAAACATCTGTCAAAAGTGATCGGTTTAGAAGCAGTGAATTGACCTCTTCCTGCTCCTCACCATCTTTCCGCCCCTTTCCTGTCCTTGTTGCTGCAGTGTCAGTTTCGAGAAGTGAACTAGAAAGGCATCAAAATATCTCACCATCGAAGACTTCCCATACTTCTCAAACAGATTGCAAATTGAAATTGCAAATATTTCAATATTTTTCTCTGTGTGTGTGTGTGTGTGTGTGTGTGTGTGTGTGTGTGTGTGTGTAGAGATTGAGTCCCTACGATGGTTTGAGTGTTGAATGACTCTGGAAATCAGGGTTAGATCCTCTACTTGACCTCTCAATCCATAGCTTTATGAATGTGGAATGACATTGAAAAATGCATCAACATCTTGTTACTAAATTGTGAAGATGAAAATCTGGTCACTGGCAAGAGTGCACCAGCGTGCATTGAACACTTCTGATATGCATTGGGCATTTCTGATACACATTGGTCTCCAGCATTTAGTAACCAGAGTCCAGATGTGCGTCATGGAGCACCCTGATGTGCATTGGTGACCCTTGGGCACTGGACCATGGTTTATCAGCCACCATTGTGCAATGCATAGCTGTCCATTGTAATAGCATGGCAACCCCATGCAGATATGGACACTGTGAAGCTACTCAGTTCGATGTTGTGTATATATAATGCCACTTACAAAGACATAAGTCCCAAGGAGAACACCAGACAGAAATTTTAGGCAAAGGGAATGAAAGGGTGTCTCTGGAATACTAACTCTGTGCTGTAATATTCTATTGCATGTCCCCTCCTATGTCATTGAGCTTCCAAAACCACAGAGAACGGGTCTGGAATAAACTCTTGGATTGGATGTTCTGATTTGCTTCTCCCCACTCTACTCTCTTCTTCAAAGGAGAATAAATTTAAGAGTTTATCTGTAATTTTCTCAGCTGGACAAGGAAAGACATGGCAGGCAGATTCTCCTCATTGTATAAATCAATGCCTTTTATCTCAAGCTCAGGCCTTCTGGTAATGAACTAGAGAAAATACATCGCTTCCCATGTGGATGCAATCAGCAAAGAGGTGAACACAAGAGCTTCACTCATCCTGGTTGGCGCGGAGAAAGAGGGATGTGAAGAAGAGAAGGAGAGAAAATAGAGACAGTTAATTTGACCCAGGATGTACAGATTTAGTGCTCTCCCTGCAATGGGTCTGTTTCTACAGTTATCTCTCCAGGTCCAGCATCCTTTTGGCCTTATTTCCAATCCAGGCAGTCTGTGGGAAACTATTACCATATTTATAAAGCTACCTGGATGTACGGAACATGCATGAGGAGATCCGAAAAGCCTATCTGGTTTGCCAGCTGTTCATTCATCATCCCTAAAGGGTGGGGGAAAGAGGAAAGGGAGGCTTCACCCCAGGTGTCCTCTTTAGGGAAAGTTCGGTAATTTTGAAGGGAAATGAGCATTCAGAAAGATCTCTTTATATGCAAATCTAGGTGCAGATTTCAAAGAATGAGCGACTACTTTCTGAATGGTCACAGGTAACATGGGTGAACAACTGATACTGATGGGACATGGGTAGTGGATCTTGGTGGTTTCCATGTGCATCCACCCCAATGGAGCTATCCAAGGTGTCAAACATTTTTGGAGGAAGAGATTCAGCACATTGGAGAGCTTTTTAAAATACAGAGCCACTTTACTGTTCCACTGATATGGAAGACACTAACCACTGCAGAAAGGGCAGATGGCTTAGTGGTTTGAGCGTTGGACTGTGACTCTGGAGATCAGGGTTTGATTCCCTGCTTGGCCATGAAACCCACTGGGTTCTAACTTATATTCCTCTGAATTCAACTGGGGAGGGGGTCAACCTTTTGGGATGCTGCCTGATTTTACTATGGCTAAACAACTGATACTCCGAAGCTGGAAAGAGAAACATTCACCATCTATTATTCAAGGGTCAGAAGATCTTACTGCTTTAGACACACAAAAATGTGTATTTTATTGACATCAATTTCAAGAAAATGTCTTTTTGGAAATATGGTCAGCATATATCAGTGTATATGTCTAGCCCTCTATGTATTTCCTCCCCCTCCCTTTTCTGTTTCTTTTCTTTATAATCATACTTAAAAATCCAATTCAAAAAAGGAGATAAGCCGCTTGGCTAGCTGGATTCAGTACTCCTAGGAGCCACTGCAGGACACACTGGGTTTGAAAAGAGTGCTTTGACTTGAAAGGCCTCCAAAGCGCTAAGACTATTTTGGGTTGTATCTGCACTGCAGAAGTAATCCAGTGTGACACCATTTTAACCACCATGGCTCAATGCTATGGCATTCTGGGAATTGTAATTTTATGAGGAACCAGTGCTCTCTGACAGAGAAGACTAAATGTCTCAGAGAACTACAGTTCCCAGAACTCCATATCATTGAGCCATGGCAGTCAAAGTGGTGTCCAACTGGGTTATTTCTGCATTGCAGATGCAGCCTAGGTGACAGTGTCTGTTACTTTGGATAGCTTGGATGCGTGTCGTGTTATGTGTGCCTTCCAACTTATAGCAATGCTGAGACAAACCTATCATGGGGTTTTCTTGGAAAGATTTGTTCAAGGAGGTTTGCCATTGCCTTTTCCTGAGGTCGAGACAGTGTGACTTGTCCAAGGTTACCCAACATGACTGAGCAGGAATAGACTGAAGTAAAAACTGGAATGGATATAGAATTCCATTGACACGGAAACCACCACCAACTACTGACACATGCTTTGCAAAGCTTCCCTGGAAGCTCTCATAGCTGGGATTCCCCAATGTGGTATTCATGTACTACAAACTCCTGAGACAATGTCAAGCCTGTAGAAAGAAGGTGCCAGTTTGTTGTAGACATGGCAGTTTAAACTTTGGGTCCAGATGAATTGGTATTGCAGTGGTAACAACCCTTGAATACAGCCAAAAGTGTTTCTGCCCCAGAAATATGCTTGGACAAAAAGCATCAACCACATAGTTTTGGACTAGAATGCCAGCTGCATTAAGCAGCTGTTGGGATTGGCAAGGAGGATTACGGAACAGATAGAAAATGGATGCTTACAGTGTGTGTCCCAGTTTAAGCGGCAAAGCTGACAGATCCAACTTATGAGTGTGCCAGACAGCTGATATTTATTATCTATGCAGCTATGGCACATCCTCATTCAAAGGAAGAAATGGACCTGGAAGCATGATGCCTTTATTCATTGAGGTCATCATCCTGAGACTAAGATCTAATCCCGGGTTAAGGACCTCCACTTTGTCCCAAGAGATTTTGATACCCGATGTGAAGAGCAAAAAGACTCCCATTCCATGTACAAAGGGGCTGGCAGTTGAATCTTTCCCAACTTAGCATCTCCAGGTTTTCAAAACAGCAATAAAGGACAGTCAGAATTCATGGCATGCAGAGTTGACAATTAAGCAGTAGCTATGAACGTGTGTACTACCTAAATCCCAAATGAAAGTATCGATTTCAGTTAACCAAGCCAAGTATTTCTCTGTAGAGTTAGCATATGGTCCACATCCATCAATTCCATGAGGCACACATTTCAGTCTTGAAGAAGGGCCCACATCCAAAAGACAGGGTTTCTTGGCAGTATATACTGCCATCAAATAGAAGACATTGCTTAAATAAGAGGTACCTGCTAGCAATATAAGGAGCAAGCTTTCTGGTCCTCAAGTAAGGGACATCCCATATAATAGGGACAACACTTGGCAACCCTACATTTTGAAGATAGGGGATGATAGGTGAGCTTCTCATTGGTACCAGGCAAGGTCAGGGCAAAGAGTAGTCCATATGGTATGGAGCTTTCACACTTTCCTACCTTCTCCAAGCATCTGTCCATTGAGAGAACAGTGTCCCTTTGTCAGCTCACAGGGCTGGTCCTACATTAATGTACCAGGGAGGGTGAGACTGGAAGGCATGTCATCAAAGTCTCCATTTGCTTGGTTGTTGGTAGTGGAACACTCAATCTGCTCAGTTCCTTTCAATTAGAACTAGGTTGGAGATCTGATCCTTTAGTAAATGCATCCCTGGTTCTTCTCAACTCAAGGCACATCTTTCCCCTTATCTGGGGGCAGTTCCTTGCATGATCTAGGCTTGGGCAAGACTATCCCTCATCTGTAGACTTCTCACTTTGCATCCAAAGGCTCTTGGTTCAATCCAATGCATTGACGCTATCCCAAATTGCCTCTGATGGATGGATAACACTTCCGGGTCAGAGGGCACCTCTGCTCGCCAAAGTCTGAGCCCAGTCCCTGTCTCTTTGCAAATTAAGCATTGCCGGTATTGCTTCCCACATGTCAGACAAGAAGAAATAGTGACCCAAAGTCCCCGACTGTATGATCTACAAGGCTGCTGCTTCTCTTAATGGCAATTTATGGCCCCCAATGCCTAATAAATCAGAATGTGAAAGCTCTCCTGTTCGCTTATCAGGAGGCTACACTTACTGTACAAGCCTGCATGGAGCCAACTGGCAGTGGGGTAGTCATTCATTCACTCTAAGCAAGAAGGAGCTACTTTAAAAGGAAAGGGCAGACTTCAACAGCCAAGGCTGCCAAATTAAGTATGTAAGGAGAGCAGGAGGGCCTCCCAGAACTCAATATTTTCAAAACCCTCTCTGAAGTGACATTGAGTTTGTGCCACTCCAACTAAGCTCCTTGCAAACTGAATGTGGTGATATTGGGCAGCTCTCATACCACTGCATCCATTCTGGGTTTTAGTCAGAAGTGTAAAAGGAATATCCAAAGTGCTGAGACTCTTCTGGTTAGACAAAGTTGAATTCTTAGTTGTTGTTCACCTTGCCTTATAGGGTTTTCTTGAAATGATTTGTCCAGAGTATCTCACTCCCCCTTCCCCACTCAGCCTTGGAAACCCACTGGGTGAGCTTGGGTAAGTCACACTCTCTCAGCCTCAGAGGAAGGCAAACCTCCTTTGAACACATAGATGAGAGACTTGCCATAAGTGAAAGTCAATTTGAAAAGGAGAGCCTGGCCTGTGCAGTGGTTTGGGTGTCAAGTTAAGACTTTGGGAGACAAGAGTTTGAATCCCTGTTTAGCCACGGAAAGCCATTGGATCATTTTGGAAAAGTCACACTCTCTCTCAGCTTCAGAGAAATGCCATGGCAAAACTTCTCTTGTCAAGAAGACATTATGACAGGGTTGTCGTAACTTAGAGCTGACTTGATGACACATAACAATCAACAATAATCGACTCAACAAAGAAACAGCAAAGGACCAACAGTTGGAAAATTGTTTTAACGGTCTAAAAGATGTAAATTTAAGGAGTTAAATAATGGCTGGTACTTGCAAGGAAGTATGGCAGGAAGCGAGACTCAACATGGCATAGGTTTTGAGTGCTGGACTATGATTCTAGAGACCAGGGTTCAATCCCTCACTTGGCCATGGAAACCCATTTGGTGCCCTTAGGCAAGTTCTACTCTCTCAGCCTCACAGAAAAGCAATGGCAAATCTTTCCAAGAAAGCCCCATGACAGGTTCAGATTAAGGTCACCATAAGTCGTAAATGACTTCAAGGCACACAACAGCAAACAACAAATGGCAGGAAGCGGCATCAATTTTAAGGATGGCAGTGAGTCCATTCTGGGTTGAACTCTAAAGGAGACATCCAATATGCTAAAACATCTCCCTTGAAATAATTTCAACTATTTGGAGAGATCCTTTGTGGATTAAAACCTAGAGAAGATTCATCCTCCCAGTGACTGCAAAACCACCAACTACCAATGCTTTAGAAGTTGTGACTTTTCTTTTGCTAGAGGTATTGAAGCAATATCTGGATGGAAACCCATCAAGGAAGCTTTACGTTCATTCTGCATCATAGATGGTAGTTGGACTTCTCAGATGCCTTCCAATGCTAATCTTTTGTTATCCTGTGACCTATTCTATTCTATGATTTCCCCCTGGTTTGAATGATAATCCCTGGAAAAGTGGTTACTTACTGTGAGTGATCGGTGAGCATGTGCTGTCGTGTTCTTCTGAATAGATGTGACATTAAAGATTGTCATTATTAGTCATCGATCACCATTTGTTGCTGGGCTCCCCTCCCGGGGATGCGGCCTGTGCTGCACTCAAAAATGATGGATGTGGCATTTCTAAGAGCCTGAAAATGTTAACATTTGAACATGCATAATGTGAGCTGGTGAGACATCTTCGTTCAGATGTGGGGAAATACAAACAGTGATTTAAGCCTTCAGGGAAAGAGGGCTTGGAACACCTCCTCATTTTACAAGATTTTCCTCTCTTTTTTCCCCTTTTAATACACTCTTTCACAACCCAAGAACTCCTTTTTGTGTGCACTAGATATGATATCTATATCACCTATGTGCTCAAACCGAGCAGACATTTTCATTGATTTTCCATAAGTTACTATTAAATGGAATTAATATAATGAAGACATGGATTCTGTATCAGCAACTAAAGTTAAGAATACCTAACTAAGTTGTTGACTGGGGATCTTGGAGGCCTTTCATTTATAGAGTCTCCATAAGTTGAAGTAAACTAGAGTGAGCAAAACAGAGACAGCATGGTGTAGTGGTTTGAGCATTGAACTAAGACTGGAGACCACGATTCGAATTTCCACTTGGCCATGGATACCCACTGGGTGACCTTAGGCAAGACACACTCTCTCAACCTCAGAGGGAGGGACTAGCAACTCCCTCTCTGAACAAATTGTGCCAAGAAAACCCTGTGACAGGCTTGCTTTAGGGTCACCATACGTTGGAAATTACTTGAAGGCACACCACCACAACAAAATAGAGATAGTAAATAACGAAAAGGTCCAAC